CTTTTAGATGAGGGGAGCCCCGCGGCCGCCGGGGAGGGCGTGTGCCCCTCGGCTTGAGCGGCGTCGCCTCCACGTCCGCTCGCCTCCACGCTGGACAAGGCGAGCGAGAGGGAGGCGCCGCCTGCCTCAGAGTCGCCTTCCTTGAACCGCGCTGAGACGTTTCTCTCCGTCCCCTCCCCGGCAAGAAAGCGGGCGGGCGGGTCTTGCTTCCCGCTCCTCCCTCCGGCGGGATTCCTGATGAGGCGGCCGCTGGTTGGCTGGCCAAGCCTTCCTTGGCCGTGGGCGGCCTTGCCCTCCGAGCAGTCCCCCTGGAGGGTCCAACGTGTATGTGCCCCTGTCCCGGAGCGTTTTTGGGAGGGCGGGTGTGTCTGTGTTGTACTCCAGCATAAAACCTCTGTCGTTATAAAAATTAAAATCATAAATGAATGCAATGTAGGACACGTATCTTCCAAACGAACCTAGGGGAAGGTGTTTTTTTTTAAAGAAAAATCGTAGTTGTGCAGCTGTAACTGTAGTTGTGCAGCAGTTGTGAACCTAGTAGGCTTCACGTGGTTGGTTTTGCTGTTTTCTTCTGTGGAAAAGAGATAGGTAAATGTTAGAAAAAAGTTTATCTGTTTCTCTCATGCATGCTGATTTTAGTACGATAATGCATGCAAGCCATGCTGTTTTTCACTTTGCAAGCACCATTTGCCCCAAGGAACAAAACTTTATTTTTTGTGACATTCACAGTGGCTTTTGAGATGACATTGAATAGTTTTCTCTTCTGAAGGATTTGGCTTTTAATTCCTCTATTCTCCAAACTTTTTATCTTCCAGTGCATTCAGGTATATGGATTGATTATAGATTCCATGAAGAGGAAGTCCATGTTCAACAAGCTTGGTTTCATTCTCACAAATTCTGAGACCGATATCTGCAGTTGCATTGCCCTGGGAATAAGGCTTTTGAAGTAGAGAAAAGAGTCTCTTGGCTACCTTTCCTATCTACTGTGTTGCATATCCTGAGTGTCAGTATTTACCAGCTAGCTGATGGGATGTGAGCAACAGTATATTGAATTGCTCAGTAGTCTCTAGATATGTTACCCTAGTTTGTGTATAGAAATGTGAGCATACTTGAGATAAAACTTGGCTTTGGTTGCTCATGTGGCATACTAGCCAAAAGGTACCAATACTGGTATTGTCTTTACTTTATGAAGGACTGTGGCATGTGTATGACTAAAGTTGGTAACCTACTAGTCCTCTGTTTTACTAAAAGCATTACGGTATATGAAAGCCTGAGCTGAACAGAGCCACCTGTCCTGTGACGACCATGGCATATGAATGATTAAGGCACGGAATATAAGAGGATGTAATGGTAAAAAGCATGAATTAACATATGTTGATCTGTTCTCTCTCCCTGAAACCAAGAGAAGGGGAAGGATGTAATAGATCTGAATGAGGATGGTCTGATTTTGTAAAGTGGAGTGGAATACATGCAAAGAAATGAACCTGCAGATTTAATTATGTACAAATGGGTGAAAATGTGTATCAGAAAGTATTATTTGGGGTTATGTAGGTTATTAGAAAATAGGAATCTGTAAGTTACTGATCACTGAATGTTATGCTCCAGTGAAGGGGAAGAAAAGTAAGCTGATTTTTGAGAAGTCAAAAGTAGAAATGGGAAAAAATAGATAAGAAAAAAGACAGAAGTAATCATTGCAGGAAGAGAGAAATGCATATAAGAGGGTGATTGCTGCAAAAATATGAGGATGAAAGACCTTGTGAAAGAAAGCTACAAAAAAGTACAATTAGAGAAAATGCAAAGCAATTTTGATGGAAATTGAAAAAAGTATTTTGGAAGTAAGTGAACAGAGAGATTGGAATTAAAAATAGAAGTGAAGAAATGATTTGGGGTGAAATTGAAGTGAAGGAATGCTGGAAAGAGTATTTATAGAAATGCATATGGGTCCAGTAATACTATATGGAGGAGGGGCATTGAAGCAACAGCTATAAATGTTAGTATCCAAGAAAAATGATGAAAAATAGTCATAGATGCTGTGATAATGCTGAAAAATGGTAAGGCTGTAGGTGAAAGGCAATGAAATCTTGAGAAATCTAAAAAATATGTGTGGTTTGTTTATGGAATGAGTGTACAACTTAATATGTGTATGAAACTATGTGCCTGACACTTGAAATAATGGTGTAATATGATCTTACTTTGTTATGTATGCCTGTGAAGGCATGTGGTAAAATTCTGATTGAATAGATGTGAAAGATGACAGCAAAATTTG